CCTATTTGTAATACAAACCCTATTTGTAATACAAACCCTATTTGTGACCGGTAACTTGTTAAATCTAGTCATGAATATTACTTCTGTATTTCGTTATTAAAAACAACAAATACGTAACAAAACGAATATATGTTTATGACAGAAACCTAAGATCAATGAACCATTTAATATATAACACTATGTCATGATTAGTTTACTGTATTATTATTATTATATTTTAGATTTTTTTATTTGATAATTTCAAAAAGAATCACTCGACTAATACGTGGACCCCCCGGGGGTACATATAACTTGCCTAATGGGAACGTACCCCAGAAACTGAATGGGTCTCGTCTTTTTTGGAGTGTTTTTTTTTTTTTTTTTTTAATATATATTTTTGTGCCAGGCGACAGTTCTGGACATTGAATGTCACCGTTGTCTCTCCTGACTTTTTTTTTGTATGTGCAAATTGCAAGTGCTAGTGCTGACACATAGTGCATTTTGCCACAGAAGTCATATTCATGTTTGGGACTACATGACAGGGCTGTGTGGCCATCTCTCTGTCAAATGGCAATTTGTAATGCGCTATCCTGGCGTCAACCAGGCTCGGTCGAACACAAGCACCTGCGGACCTTAACAAAGGTTCCCCCAAAGTCGCATTCGTTAGTGAATGAATCTCGGCCAGTGGAATTGGCCTTCCCATTGAGTCTGTGGCACACTCACCCAGGGTAGGGGTTGACCCTTTGATATTCAGCCTAAGGTAGGATTTGAACATGGGTCTACCGATCATGAGTCTGGAGCGACAACCACTATGCTACCAGTGGTCTTTTTTGGAGTTTAGGTATAAGTATCTGTCTTATTTCTGGTCATGATGGGTATAAATATCGGTAATAAATATGCTCTTATGTAAGTGACAGAGGTGTTTCTATGGTCAAAATACATATTTTAATAAATCAATATACAATGCAACTGTTGGCTTACATGTGCTTCTATTGGAGATACTCTTCTTAGACTAGTAGATCAAATGCGGTAACTGTTTTATTTGGAATAAACAGTGATGACAGAAATGGTAGCTTGATATAAATATGGGGATAGATTTCGCCACTATCCAGGTATAAAAAATGGTCATCCTTTTGCGCACTCAGGGGCACCTCCCTACCCAGCTTTGTATCAACTGCCCCCACCCCAGGACGTGGACACAATTCGTGATGAATACA